TCAAATCACAAAAAAAAAAATAATAATAATAATAAAAAAAAATAATGTTTTCCGTAAATGAAGAGTTGATCTAAAATGTCCAAAAACCTCTCTTTCTCATGTTCCACCTGCAACCCGGTTAGATGCTCTCTACTCCTTTCAACCTGGGATTGTGCTTCTTCAAGTGTAACCGTCACTTTCTGGCAAGATCTCTTCACGTCTGAAAGTCTTCTTTGAGTAGTTTCCCCCAAAGCAGAGTTGTGGGCTTTATTTTCGTTGAGTCTCTGCAACTGATCGGAGTATAGTTTCAACTGCAGAGCAAATATTAAATGTCGTGATTCGCAAAAAACAATAATGGAGTTTGAAACTATGTAGGCGGCCCATATTTTTACCTGATTTTCTATTCTACCAGCTTTGAACTCAAGAAAATCAACTGTTTTCTTGGTCTGCTGAGTGGTTTTTTCCAACATACGCTTCTCCATAAGCAAGGTGTCTTCCTGCTGTCTTGCACGAACACCTTCTAAAACAAGCTGAAACCGAAAATAAAAAAACTCACACATCCAAAAGTGACCCTCTAAAGAAATAAATAAATAAATAACAAAATCTATTGAATAAGGAAATCCAGCTCATGATAGAGATAACGGTAGAACATAAGCGTTCATTGAATAAATGGTTCTCCTTCTTTTTTTTTCAAAAAAAAAAAAATAAATCAAGAGGACTTGAGTTCTCTCTTACCACAATTATCTTTTGATTCTGAAGTTTAAGAATTTAATCAGATTTCAACAATATTATCATAATCGATTTAGGGCATATCAAGTGTAAATATATTTTGGGAAAGTGGTAGGGCGAATTTTGTGATTCGAAATGAGCCCTGGTAGAATTTTATCAAGTACTATCCATTTTCACTACTCAAAATATCAACATTCTATGTTTAATACTAAGATCATTGACTAGTTGCCATCATATTTTCTTCGAGCTACAACATAAATTTACCCAACTGGAAAAGGTTCAAATAATAATCAGAAATCAATAATTTTTTAAGGAAATAAAAGGAAAGATAAATATGCAAATAGAATGCAAGAATCAGAATTTGCAATTGCTCAAAATGACTATTATCATTCCGAGTCTAGGAGAAAAAAAAAATAATTCTCCTTTCAAAATAGTCAAAGAATGTTTCATTACTTCCTTTTTACAACGATAAATTCTAAGGAAGACATGAGAAGTTGATTTTTCGATAAATCCAGCTGAAACAAGGGAATCATTACCTTTACATTATAGTCGTCTCTTTCGGTAATTTGCTGCAAAAGCTGCTGGTTTTGAGTCTGCATGTCATCATATGCCTGCCCTATGGTCTGTAGTTGATAAAAATAAATCCCTTAGCCTAATTGAAAAAACGCAATACGTGCTAATAAAGTCTAAAATAAAACCAAAATGGACCTCAATCTCAGACATATAGGCCTCAGTTTCTTCATTTTTGGACTTCAGAGTATCAGAAAGTCTTGCTTTTTCCCTGTAACAACAGTGGGTAAAACTTTGCAGAATATCCAGGAATAAGAATTTCACACATAATGCATGTGCTTCAAAATATACTTTTCAATTATCAGCTCAAGTAAACCATCCATGTAATCACTCTAAGCTTCATATATTCCTCATACTTCTTAAGTTATTATTCCATCATAATAATTGTAATGGTCACAGTGGGTTTCATACGGTCTTTTTGAATGTAATTCTTACGTGCTTCCTCGTGTCAGATTTAGGGCAAAACTAATGGCTTTAAAAAATTCATGCGGATAGCAAAGGTGACAAGTATTTGCCTATTTTGTGACGAGAAAATGGAATCAAACAAATCATAGGCAGCTGCAAATAGAAATGTAACATAGATATTACCAGAATTTGGAGAATTGGGGATAAAAAAGATCCTATACTCATACATAACACAAGCAAGGCAATTTATGTGAAAACACTTCTTTCTCCATGAAATCAAACAATAATCAGAATTTTGAGTAAAATAGAAAGGCAACGAAAACAGTAAAAATTACTTATTTTAATAAATATTTACAAGAGAAACTGACCTTTTAGAAGCTTCAAACTTTTGTCTAAGCTCAGCAATCTCAGCTTCCGAGGCAGCTAATCTCTGCTGGGCTTTTGCTTCAGCTTCAATTGCAACCTTAACACGCAACTCCAAATTCTGTTCATCAAGAGAAGAATTGAGACCTTGAACATGAGCCCATGCCTTGATCTCTGAATATCTAGCTTCCCCGACTTCCCTGCAAACAAATCAATGGTTAAAAGGTAAAAGGTATGAACACAGATTCAATGTTTAATGAGGGATAGCTGAAGAATCATACATATTTTATGTAATGTTGAAAAAAACAATTTTCAGTATTACAAATATCAGTTAAGGCACTAAAAGCACCCCCATGAAGTTAGTATTTTCTAAGCAAATAATTCTCTCCACCCGGGCAATTTTTACAAAAAGAAACAAACATGAAGGAGGTATTTTTTAATTCTATAAATGTCCTCAGTAGCATTTTATTAGTTGACCCAATTTACTTGTCGAAGCACATTTTTACAAAACCATTCTAGTAGATCCAGCTGGGCAGATACTTTTTCGATTCAATCAAAGTGGTCCAGCTTAATTCTTCCACTGACTTACTTAGCTTGCATATAATATGGAAATATAAAAATAAAATCCATACAAAAGCTCCATATAAAAATACGGAGGTATGCCAAACCTTGAATCAGTTGATTGATGTCCATACATTTCCAGAAAAAGCTTCATGTCTGTTTCAGCTAACCTTACATCTCTATTCTGCATCCACAAATTAAAAGTTTTCAAAGTTCAATATCAAATCTATATCTGAAAACAAACGTCAATTTTTTTACTTGTCCTTGTGTTCCTATACAACACATACACAAGGCCCCCAACAACTTCCCCAGAGAAAACATTTAACGTGATATTGAAAAATAAGCGCAACTTAGTAACATTTTATCACCAGAAAGATTCTCACAAGAATTATGTCTCCTAATCATTGAAAAAATAAAAAAAATATAACAAAATCATACCACAGATTGCAATTTTAGAATTTCAGCATTTTGCCGAGTGGATCTCGAAGTCAAAGCCTCCAACTCTCTGGACTGCAGAAACACATTCGCACAAACATATGATCTACAGTAAGGTAATAGCATAAAAATAGAACGACTAAATCTGATGGGGAAGATGAATTTGAACGTATAAATCGAACCTTTCGGTCAAGAATCGTTGTTAGGGATCCAACATGAGCTCGCAAAGAGTGAATATCTGCAGCAGTCTCCTTGTGCTTGGCTAACTGATTTTGCATGCTCCCCATTTTCTCAGGGAAGGATGAAACTAATGATTTGAACTCATCAATTATTTCTTTCCTACCTGAGAAAAAACAAAGCGTTAACAGCTAACCTAACATGTGATTATATGAAGAAACGTGAACAAAACACAGAAGTTCGACTCCATACCTGGTTCTTTTGATGCTTTTTCCAGTTTGGATTCAATTTCATCTCTCTCTTTAATGTGTCTCTGTATTTCTAATTCCAAGTCACTTATTCTGGTGTTGGCCACTGATGAAGATCGATGAAGAACATCTAAGAATTCATTTTTAATATGACATTCTTTTTCCCTCCAGTACAGACTTTCTTTCTGGATCTGCGAGTAAAGTGGGTACACAATCACTGAATCACACTCAGGAAACATTTTTTACAAACATAACAATGAATGCAAAATGAAACTACCATTTAATACAACCTCAAATTTCTCACATAAAGCTTGATACTGTGCAGCATCGGCTTTAGCCTTTGTAAGTTGATCTTTCAGCAGGTGATATGCTCGCGATGACCGAATACAATCGACATTTTTCAGATTGCTCTGTCAAGTACATATTTATAGCTAATTAGAGAAGCAAGAGGGCATGCATAATAATTAAAAAAAAAAAAGATGGAGAAGAACGCAATAAAAAAAACGCTGATTGAGAACAAATTTAACCTGCAAATTTGTCAAGTGTTTTAGTGTGTTTAGTCTGTCTTCATGAAGACGCCTGAGCTCGTGCAGCCGAGATGTGGATTCTTCCTGAATAGGGAGACAAATTCATTAGTCCATTCTAAATATCGAACAAGTTTGAAAACACACACACACACACACAAACAAACAAACAAACAATTACCACTAACTCCTTCAATGTGGCCTCCATGTCGATTGCTTTATCACTATTTACATGCTTATTTCCACGGTTGAGAACAGGGAACAATTGCCCATTTGGCACATTCCTTTCGGCTTTTAGAACTGCCAATTTGCGGTTACTTTCTTCCAATTCAGAAATGGCATTTTCTAGCTCCCCTTTACAGGAAAAAAGAAATATACAATAAATTTGAGTTCTCTCGGGAATTCAAAAAAAAAAAGAAAAAGAAAAAAGAAAAAATTCACATTACAATTATTAACTAAAATAATCATTACGATGAGATGAGATCTTCACCTGTAAGTGGTACAAGATAAAGACTGATAAGGGAAAAAAAAAAACTTAAAGTAAGAAAGTTTGGTTTATCCATGCCCAACCCAGAACACAAGGGACCTTTCTCTAGAAGGAATTAGAAAAATAAAATTCAGAAGGTAAAGACCAGTACATAAAGAAACAAAAGCATCAAAAAATTGTCCAATATAATAATGTATCAAGAGTAAAATAAATTTTGACAACTGAGTCACTAGCTTGTAGAGATTAACTAATATTTATGGTGTTCTATACGAAACTTCATCATCAAGAATCTTATGTTACAGGGTGCCATTAGTGTGACCAAACTATAGTAGTCTACACTAACTTGGCCCTATAAATACCATCAATTTTTGGGGAAGGGATGATGAACACAGAACACTAAGGGCAGGTGAAGCTCGACAGGGAAGAAATTACAGGAAATCAAAGTATCCGGATAATGACTTCTGCGAATAACAGATAGCATACCTTTCAAACACTTCAAATCAGCTTTATTCTTTGCATCGGCATCTCTATGGCTCTGCAGTTCACCAGCAAGCTCTCTGTGTTTCAAGTGAAGCTTAAGCGCTTGTATTCTCAAATTCTTAACGTCAGGCTGAAAATCAGAAGAAACCTTTGCTTTCTGGCCCTGTCCTACAATGAGTGGGAAGAAAAGAAAGTGACAAGTAGATAAAAATCTTAACAAGACATGTTGTGAAAACAATCTGAAAAGAATCATTATGTATCAAGGTATTTCCAATTTCCTCTTATCTATCGGATGTCCAATTCATTCTTCAAAATATCCTTACCATTAGACGAGATTGCCTTCTGAGAGGCAGCATAGAATTCATGCTTCAAACTGTTTAGATCATCGAAAGAAGCTACTATGTTGTGGAGTATGTTCTTCGTCTTCATCGTGTTTCCACCACCAATATTTCTACCTTCTTCAGTTGAATTTGCAGTTGTACTGGCTGAACTACTTTCTGTTGCCCCTGTTTCTAGAAGTCGGCTCAGTAGAGCATCCTCTGGAGCTGATTCACCGTCTATTCAAAAGCACTTATTATTGCTTTGTTTAAAAAAAAAAAAGGCCGAATGGAAAGTTCACATTTCTAAGACATGGCTACAAAGCTCAGATTACATCATTAGATTAACTACCAAAGAAAGCTTGAGTCAGAAGGGTGACAATCTAGGCAAATATACACAAGGGTTTAAATAGGGAATGCGGAGCAAATGTTCAGTGTAGGAAAACACAAAACCGTGAGTCATGAGAATCACGCCTTTGGTCTAGTTCAGAACCTACCATGAATAGACCCAAGCTCACAGGCAGTATATTTCCTCAGAAGAACTAAAATTCTCGATACACACAAATAAACTCAAAAGGTGGAGTAAGGCTCAATAGAAAGAAAGCAAAACATATGAACCAACATTCAGTTAACCAAACAAGGAGTATCCTGGCAACAAGAAACACAACAGAAGTTTCTGCTAAAATAATTTTAATTCGACATATTTGTATAAAAATTAATTGTCCCTAAAAATGTGAGTAACATTTGTAAACCGTAAATATGAAAAGAACTCCACAGATATCGGGTATGACGCTGGTAACTGGCCAATTGGCGATACACAACACAGATATCCGCTTTTAAGAATATGAAACGCCACAACAACAAAGGCCCATTAGTACAATCTTAAAGGAAGTTCAGGTTGAGGAACAAACAAAATCTGATGGATGAGAAAATATGTGGAAAAAAAAACTTCAATAGCACCACTCACCTTCCTTAAATAAATGGCATTCAAGACCTCTCCCATGTTTCACAAAGTCCACTGTGCAGTTAGAGCGAGATTCCAGGTCATCAACGAGCTGGTACAGATGGGGCCAATCCCACAATGAGTAGGCAAACATTTAAAAATGCCAGATATATATACACAATGTAGTCAGTAAATGATGTAAACTTTGAGATTCTATGTCACTGGCTATATTCTACCACTTGAAGCAAGCTGTAACATCAATCAATACAAAAACAATATGTGGAGCGAGGGACTCGAGTTCACTAAATTAAGTGTATATACACTCCAAACCATATAATCCTATGATTACGTGAAGCCCACTTGTATGGATGCTTCATACTTAAAAATGGAAAAGCGGTGAGTAAAAGAAGACAAATCCAGCAAAGTTATGTACTGTACCTCTTCCCACGAGTTATTGACAAGAGCTAAGGTTTTCTCATGTGATTTTTGCTTATCTTTCAACAGCGAAACTTTATCTTCAAGAGCATTAATCTCACCCTTCTGACTTTCCAACTTCTGCACAAGTTTCTGATTTTGAAACTGAAGCACTGCTGCATCAAGCTACAGAAATAAAATTTTGAACTATTAAGTATCTATAATTAAATGATTCGTCTCACAAGAAAATGTGCCACATATAAAGCTTGTCTAAGACAACCTACATGCCAACATAGAGGACAATTTAAGAGTAAAAAACAAAACTCCAACTACAACAAATCAAAATAGTATAATCAGTTTTTTCTCTCTTTTAAGCAGATTAGATCTTTCCCAAGTTACTTAGTTAAAATGGAATGAAACACTTACACCAATTAATGCATTTGCCTTGTGAAAGAAACTGGTGTTGAATCCAAGCTTATATTAGTTCGATAATTTACTTTAATAAATTGAATGTAAAGAAAAACCATATAATAAGCATATTTATGAATTGGCCTGTGCACTTTTAACGTCTAAAAATGCAGTACATATAGGTTACCAAAAATGGATCCACAAACAGAGTTGATTATGCCACGATAGCAACTTAAATCAAGTTACGCCAAAACATATCACCTATGCAATAATTACATCACTTCCAAAATTGTTCGAAGTTCAAACGGACATATAGTAACTGATGATAAAGACATATGCTCCTTAAAAGCCAAGCCCGTGATGATCATAGCAATCTTTTAAATAGATAATCAAAGCAAAGGTAAGAAACAAAAAATACACGAGAACTTTAGAAGATTAAAGATGGGATCATGAAATAAAAACCTTTCGATATTATTTCATCAAAAGATCCAGAATTTTTTCAGCCTATGGTTCATTAGTTAAGCATCTAGAAGCCAGATAGTTACCATAGTTTCTCATAGAACTTTATGCTCTAAGTATTGAACACAAACCAGCTGTAACAAACTAAGTCCATCTAAACCTGCTATACAAAACCACAGATCGCAGATCCAAGAAAGATAACAAGTTCATCGTTACATCAATCAAACTAATCTTCCATTAAATAAAAAAGAATACCATCGTCTAACGTAATATAGACAGAATCGGAAAGATAAACGTGAAACATAAACTTCAATATACAATTTCAGTATGCAAGATCGTAAATAACATCCCCCATATCTCAAAATTACTGAAATAGAAGAAAGGTAGCTCATACCACACCCTCATATGTAGCTAAAATCAATGTTAGGGTGAAATTCCACCCATGGTGCCCAGACCCCAAATACATAACATTAACATAATTGCCCCACAAGTCAAAAAACCTCCATGCAAATGATCACTGACCAAAATCATCACCACTTAATGACTGCAACACACTTTATCAAAGAACACCTCTACTGAAAATCAGCAACCAAACATACTACTTCAAGCGGATAACATACTACTACTGGAAAAGTATCAAATTCACTTAATTCCGTAAGTCCCTAGTTAGCAAAAGTTGTAATCTAAGAAACCCAGACGAATATTAAGTAAAAATTTCACCTTTTTCTCCTCAGATAAAGGCGCAAGAGGTTGCTTCTTCCCGGCAGCAGCAGCGGGTGATATCGAGCTAAAGTGACGCCGCTTCTTGTCAGCCTCACCTGTACTAGCCATTATAATCACACCCCACAAAACCCTAGAATCACTACACCTATTAAAAATTGAAAAGCAGAAAATTCATGGCCAATCTACAAAAAGCCCGGGTAATTCAACACATAAACATGCACAGAAACATGCATGTACATCAAAAAAATCCAATTTTAGCAACAACCCAAAAATAAAAAAATTAGAAAAACCGATTGATAGAAAAGGTCGACATTTCTCCAACTGGGGAAGAAACCCTAGGTCTCAAAAACTGAAAAAAGAATAAAATAAACTCAATTATACAGAATTCTTCTCATGGCCTTTGTCCAAATTTTCGCCCCTTTACTACTTCTAGTCTGTAAAAATAAAATCAATCTCCCACACACAGAACCCCTTAAACCAAACAATGTGTCCAGGAGGAAAGAGAAATGATTAATATGATTGTGGGGCAGATTAGGAAATTGATAAACTGCTTGGGGCAAATACGTAATTGGATTGCTTCGATTGTGTGCGATCGGCTGCTTTGTATAGTGTATAGACAATGCCGCTGACGTGGCGTGCTTGCACAACTGTGTAGGGACTAGCGTTGGCCAAGTACACCTGTAAAAGTGTTTTAAATTTTTTTCCTTCTGAAAATAAAAAATATATATAGATAGTATTTCTATATTTTGGAAATAAAATCGATATATGGTTAAAATTGTGCCACCTATCCTGAAAATCAAAATTGTATCTGTTATAAATTTTTTAACACAAGAATATATTATGAAATAAAACTTATACTTTTATTAATATTATTTTAGGGATTGACATTTTTTTTTCACAAAATTGAATGAAAAATAGCGTTCCAGTGCGTTTGGTTAGTCTAATAAAAAAATCAAATAAAGCCTCGACATTCTTAATTCTTAGTGGAGCCGAATATGAACATGTCCAAACGAATTTGATTTCTTATTGGAAAGGAAAATTAAAGAAATTTGTGTAAGATAGAGAATTCGATTTTCATGACTTCTTAAATTTGGAGAATGAATTTGGTAGATATTTTTGAATTGGTGAAATATCTCTTCATTTAAAGGATTAACATAAGTTTTTAGGGAAAAATTATAATTTTCCTATCTTTCTAAAAAATATCCAAATCACACAAAACTATAGACAATTCAAAATTGCCTAAAAACATCATTTTTCTTATAAACACATGTTCTTCTCAGACTCTAATTAGTAGAATACAGACAAAACCTCTAATAAACATTAAAAAAAATCCAGAAAATCTACGAGTCATATATATCCATTGTAAAACCAACAACAACAACAACATAGCCTTTAGTCCCAAGCAAGTCGGGGTAGGCTAGAGATGAAACCCAAGAAAAACAATGGTAAGAGAAACACAAAAAGGGCTCGAAACAAAAGGAAGATGTTATAACAAAAAGAGATATATCCATTGTAAAACCAATTGTAACAAAAAGAGATATATCCATTGTAAAATCAATTATAATAAAATATTCAAATTAGGGGATATCAGATATGACAGAGGCACGATATGATTAGAGAATATGCAATTACTAGTACAATACTCTGTACTACACGGATGATTGATAAAATAATTAAATATAAAATAAAAAATAAAAATATATATATTTTGTTGAAGTTGGAAAAAATAAATAAAAAACAATATATAACAATTTATAATAAATAACTAAGTGAATTAATAATATTATTTAAATTCTGAAAATTAACTTATATACATCATAATTATATTTATAATATTTTTATTTAAAACACATAAGGGAATAATATGAGCAAATAACAAAATTTAGAAAGTAAGATTATATGCACATTATAGAAATAAGATAATAAAAACATTCATATAGAATGATTTAAATATATTAATTATGTGTATATATATATATATATGGTAATCCGAACCTAAATTATTTGGTATACAAAAATTAATAATTTTTATCCAAGCCATATTACAAAGTATAATATTGTCATTTAAGATTACGAAACATACAAAGTTGTTACTTAAGCTCAGCGCGTTCTGAAATTATATATTAGAGGATATGACAAGTACAATATGACCTACTAGACCAAATTATATATTAGGGGATATGTCAAGTACAATATGACCTACTACACAAAATGTATATTGAAACTCATTATTAATACTTATAATCAAATAAACTGATAACTGTCCATCCCTAACTCAAACCTATCAGCACATCCAATTTTTTATATCCATTAACCTTCTCTTTAAGTTGTCTATTCACGGCAATGAACTCATACAATTCAATAACACATCTTAAACCAGCCGCAGTTGAGAAGCCGCGTGACCCTCAGCAGGGCTCGCATAGGCCCAAGCTGTCACCAACGTGGGAAAGTGGGCCAGCCCACGCGATTGCTGTACATTTGGATGGGCAATGGGCCATGAACATCCATCTAATCTAATGCATATTTACGAGGAATGTCAAAAATATAAATGGCATTTAGTGTGCTTACAGTTCACAAAAACGTAAATCCCGTAAATTAAAAACTCAACATTATGTATTTAGTACAGTCTGAAGCTCGAAGTCCATTCGAAGTTGCAGCCACAAACAGGAACTAGTTTCATTCTACATTTTCCAATGCCAATTGCCAACTTCAAATTTCGTCTAATGGCAAATACTCAAGTCAAAACTCACCCACTAACTATACAGTATATACTCCCAATAAGTAAACAAAAACCTACACACGAGACACACAATCTAAGCCAAACCTGTAAACAAATAACAAAACACCATAATCATTTGCCCGAATACTCAAAAAAACAAACCAAATTCACTCGATCTTGTTCACGATCTCGTGCCTCTTTTTCTGCCCGACCTCCACCAGCAAAGTAAGAAGCGCTTCACACACCTGAGAAGCATCAGCTTCAGTAGGGTTATCAGTAATGGAGGAATAGACCATCCACGCGTGATCCAGCTTTCGGGCGGGCCGCACCACAACCGAGCCCGGGACCTCCGCATCTCGGCAAGTAACAAGCCCGTCACTTTTCTCGCCATATCTTATCTGAAGCAGCTGAGCACAAGCGGCCATGGCTGCGCCAAGCGGGATCACGACAGGTAACGTGGTTGGGGGCTGTTCGGAAGAGAACGTGGGGAGCTCTGCGTGGGCCACGCGGGATAGCGTGGCAAGGACAGCTGGCGAGATGCCGGCCTCCGTGTGGAAGGAGATGAGCGGGAGTTCCTTCGGGAGGCGGTGCTTTCGAAGGAAATCCTTCCTTCTGTCGTACGTTAGGTCTTCCAGGGCCTGCATGTCGCCCTTCGGAATAGATGGTGGTATTGGAGTTCGTTTAGGAAAAAGGTCCGACGACATAGTTAGTAATCACGGAAACTAAATGTTCGGGGAGGTTAAAGATAAATAGGTGCTTTCTGTAAAATTTGGTAAAACTTGGGGGGTTTATTGTAAGTATGACTGAATTTAATCTCAAAAGGAAAAGGGGAAAAAAAAAGCTATCTTGCAAAACTACTAAGAGTGTGTTTAGTAAGCATCATAACCTGGATTATAACTTATTTGGTTAGCTTATAAACTTTATGTATTCAAATAAGCTTTGTTTGGTAGGACGGGCTATTTTAAAAAGCTCGAGCTTATCTCATAAGCTTCTTCGGATAGCTTTTCAAATAAACTCATTCAAATTCTTTACTTCAACTGGCTTATCAGTTAATTTTACCAAATACGTTATCGCATCAGCTAGCTTTTCAGCTTTAAGTCATAAGTTATCAGCTATAAGCTTGAAATTCACTAATAAGCTAGTTTTACCAAACATAGCCTAATACTCCCCTTCAAACTCTCTATTTTATGAATTGCACGCTTGGAAGGAGATAACTTGGTAGGAATATACAAACCTCAAAGTCTGTTTGTAACATTTAATCATGTTTCGTTAAGTTAAAAGGAAGTCAAGAAATGGAGTGTTTAGCGTTCAGACTTAACCTCAAGGGTCATATTAATAATGTAATTATTTATCCCCAATACTTATGTACATGCCGCGAAAGTAGTAGTGTTCTTAAAATCCAAACAATCACATAACTTCAGAATTTCCATCGGAAACTACAGCAGGTTTTCGCTCTTTTAACTACTAACGTCGAATATTTCTAGGCATATAAATAATGAAGTACTTAACAAAGCATAGAAAAAAAAAGGAAGGTAAAGCTACCTTTATCACTTTACAGATGAGAATCTCCATAAGCTTACGGATGTTGACATAATCACCAAGCTGGCCTTCTCTCAGTATATCTGAAGCAATCGGACTCCCACCATACGGGCTCTGTGTTAATGCTAGGCCCGCTACCTTATCTTTTAAATCATTCCAATACATAGACAGACAGGCGGCAGAATCCACACCCCCTTTACTGTGGCCAAGCAGCAAAACTCGTTTTTTGGAGCCCCAATATAATTCCTCAATGTAGTCCTTTATCTCTTTAGCATTTTTTTCCACTGAAGCCTAAAACGTAACTTCATCATGAAACTGATGAACATACTGAAATATAGCACAACACGTTTTTAATAGATCATACCTCACTGTGAATTTTTGCAATATGACAGGTGAGCCCCAGCTTTGAAAAATACGTTTTTGTGTTCACAAAGTACAGAGGTCCGTGGTTGCTGAAAAGACCTACATACAGCAAACTTAAAACCATCAACCAATCTTAACAATGGCAATAAAACAATCTTAATGAAAGGGAATATGAGAAATAAACGCATTGTTACCTGGGACTAACAAATAAACCATCGTGTTTGGCAACGCATGCAAACCATGCCTGGCACAGAAAGGAAAACAATTCCATTACAGCCTAGAACAAAACACATAATCTAGCCAGATAAAAGTGAACAAAAAAAAAAAAAAGAAGAAATGTATAATTTGTACCGTATATCGTCGAGTATTTCTGTGAATCTTCCCGTTCCATCTTCTACAGGTGGCATGCTGGGATCTCTTTGCAACCATCCAATGTCATCAGCAGAGCCCCGAACTGTCTTCCTCACCCTCTCAATGAGGCTATAACAGAAATACAACATGCATGAATAAATAGAACATGGCCAGTAAAATAAAAACTGGATAAAAGGGAATTTCCGAAACAGTAGACGGTTTCTGCTAATTAGCATAGAGTTTCAACAGAACTTTAGCATTGAGTTTTTAGGACAGTATGGTCATCTGTCAACTTTTACAAGTCAAAACGCTGTGTCTATACATAATGACTAGAATATTAATAGGCTCCAGCAGTTAGTACCCTTGAAAAATGGAAAGACCATTCTGATTGGTATTAGATTGGACAAGTGCATTAGAAGTTCGAGGGGAGGCACCAGACGAACTCCTGGTAATACCACCATGGACTACTGGAGCATTGTATCTGGTAACTATTGATCCCGAAACAGATGGACTGGTGCTTGAATCCCCATTCCGGTTAACCGACCTGGCGCCATGCTCCCTCGAAACAAATGGCAGCATTTCCAGTCCATCGGGGTCTTGGGATACAGATCTTACTGGAAAAATTGCAAAACAAAATCCGTATGAGAGTTCAACTAATAGAAAACTGTTGAAGGATACATATAAGTAAAAGTAGCATCTTCTTTCCTTTTGTCTCCGTTAAATTATCTGTACTTCTAGTGCTGTCTTTTTCTGACGGAAATGCACATACGGAAAGTTAACATTTCCAGTAGATTATGAACATGTCCTTTGCTCTTTGGCAGGAGAAGGCAGCACATGTGTTCTCTAGCTAATGAAACAGAAACCTCGAAAAATTCTAACCTTCACTACATTCCACCCTATTAACCAATATTAGATTCCAGTCGGGTATTACTATTACAACTATTACAAACAGAAAACATAAAACGAGAAGACATACAAAGCATGAATCGAATGGGGTGCAAAATGAAGCAACATGGACAGAGATGAAAGACATATTTATTACACCAACTTTCAATGCTTCCTTGCACATCTGCACGTGTAAAATCATCTATGCAAACCCGATAATTACCACACTAGTTCAAAAACTAAAATCTAATAGAAACGAACACAAATTAACTATTTGCCTGTAGAAAAATCATGAAAATCCATGCTGAAATCCCATCCCATCACACAACTATGATTAACTCAATCCCAAGTTTTCATTCTGCAAGGTTCACAATAATCATCACATGTTACTCTAAAACTAACAACAAGCATAGCTAAACATATTCCCATGAATCTTGCTACAAAAGCTCCAAAATCATAACTCAAACCAGTAAACGAGTTAAGAACAATACTCGAAATCTCCGGGAAGCATCGGGTGAATATCGACGTAGTTTCAGCTAGATATGAAGCAGCCTCGTTCAAAGACGGCACGGATGTAAACAGCTGCGGAATACCGGGACGATCAACTCTCCCCACAGTGCTATTTGCCTTTAGTGCAGAGAATATTATTCAAAAAAACAGAAAATCAGGACAATCACCTCCAAAAAACAAACATAAGACGAGAAATATCAAAAAAATACCAGCTGCGGCGAGCTAGATGCCCCGGCGTCCGAATTCCTGGCGTCCATACGGGAAAAGCGGTTCAAAATTGTGACGAACTGTGAAGTAAAACCCTATGTACACAATTAATGGAGTATCGTAAAGCTCAAAGGAACAAAGGATTGGAGAAAATATGGAGAAATGAGAGGATTGTTGAGTCTCAGCAGTTTGAAATGGAGAAAATCTCGAAGAAAGGTCTCGAGTTTTTTCATGGAGAGGAATGATTGATACCAATTACCAGGCGTCAATTGAGTTGCGGGAGTCCAGCTTGAAACGACGTCGTCATATGACATGGTTCATATTGAGATTCTGTTGGGCCTACGACGTAGAAGAATGGCCAGAAATGTAATTGAAGGCCCAAATTCCAATCTGTAGTTTAGCTTCTACTTCTCCAGGCCCAATATAATCTCTAGCTTTACTATTATCGACGGCCCACCCAGATGGACAGCCTTAAAAAAAAAAATATGCAAACAACAATTTCCAACAATTCTACCTTCCTCCATGACCTATTGCAAAATAATTTGAAAAATGATGTATAATGTTGAATTTTTACTATAAAAATGTTACTTTTCTATTCACTACAACAAAAATGATCAAATTCTAACAGAAAGTTCCAATACAAATATATTTTAACAGAATTCTATTGAAAATTCCAACAAAAATATTCCGTTGGAATGAGTTTTCCATTGAAATTTCCGTTAGATTTTGAAGATTCCAATGGTAGATTTTCTAACGAAGGTAAAATAAAAATTTCAACTAAAATTCCTATGGTAAATAACCGTAGAAAAAATAATCGTTGGAATCATCAAATTCCATCTAAAATTGCAATGGAAAACTAATTCCAACGCAATATTTTCATTGGAATTTCTGTTGGAATGATTCCAACGGAAGCTGTACCAATGAAATATCTTCTGGAATTTCCGTTGGATGTATTATCATAGAATTTCCAGTTGGAATATAACTTTTTTTTTGTAGTGTTTTTATTACATTAGTTTTCTCTGTTACCGATGTAAATGTATGTTACATAAATATTTTTTATACTAATGGTTATGATATAGCCACTTAGACGAGTTCGGTGTGGAGTCCAGTTTAGTAGCTCAGTTCATGTCTAAGCTCGAAAGGATGGATACAGGTCATCTTGAGGTTGCTCATTTAGATGGTAATATTCGAGTTAGGATTCTCATACGATTGCAAAAGAAAATGAGATTGTGATTATCATATAAATAGAGTTTCAATAGGTATAAAATAGATTTGAGCGTCATAGTATTTATGTTGGAAGTTTCTCCAGGCGCGTGGTAGGTCTTTGAACAGAAATTCTATGGTGCCCATATGGGCACCATAGAATTTCTGGTCTTTGAAGCTAGTTTTTTAAATACAAAACGTATCATTTTGAGAAAAATATTGTTGTATTTTAAAATTTATTAATATATTATTACTCTTATATAATATGTTTGTATTTTAAAAATATATTTACATCATTTCTATCTATATTTGCATATAATTCTCTTTGTAACATGATTGTTCATTGGAGCAATCAATTCTCTTGAAGTTTTCTTCAATTTAATACAATTTTACAATATAAAAAAGGGTACAAAGTGCAATTTGCTTGTTCAAATCTCATCACAATCAACTGTAGGTAAAATGAAAAAGTTGTTCATAAATAAGATCATTACATCTGTGAATTCCCACATATTTATTGATCCCACTAAACATATTCTAGCCTTCACTAAATCCCACCCTATTAGCTAATATTCAGTTCCAACTGGGTATTTCTATTGCAACTATCACAAACAGAATACATAAGGTGCAAAATGAAGCAACATGGACAGAGATGAAAGACATGTTTATTACACCACCAACTTTCAATGCTTCCTTACACATCTGCACGTGTAGAATCATCTCTGCAGACCCGATAAATACCACACTAGTTCAAAATCTAAAATCTAATAGAAACAAACAACAATTAACTATTTGCCTGTAGAAAAATCATGAAAATCCATGCTGAATTCCCATCCCATCACACAACTATGATTAACTCAATCCCAAGTTTTCATTCTGCAAGGTTCACAATAATCATCACTGTGTTGCTTTGAAACTAACAACAAGCATAGATAAACACATTCCCATGATACTTGCGACAAAAGCTTCCAAAATCATAACTAAAACCAGTAAACGATTTAAGAACAATACTCGAAATCTCCGGGAAGCATCGGGTGAAGATCGATGTAGTTTCAGCTAGATATGAAGCAGCCTCGTTCAAAGACGGCACAGATGTAAACAGCTGCGGAATACTGGGACGATCAACTCTCCCCACAGTCCTATTTGCCTTCTGTGCAGAGAATATTATTCAAAAAAAAATAAAAAATCAGCACAATCACCTCCAAAGAGCAAACATAAAACAAGAAATAGCACAAAATTACCAACTGCAGCGAGCTGGATTCTTCGGAGTCGGAATTCTTGGCGTCCATACGCGAAGAGCGGTTCAAATTGTGACGAACTGTTAAGCAAAACCCTAAGTGCAATTAATGGAGTATCGTAAAGCTCAGAGGAACAAACGATTGGAGAAAATATGGAGAAATGAGAGGATTGTTGAGTCTCAGTAGATTGAAATGGAGAAAATGTTGAAGAAAGGTCTCGAGTTTTTTAATGGAAAAGAATGATTGATACCAGGAGTCCGAAATCAATCGAGTACGACGTCGTAATAGGACATGGTTAATGTTGAAATTGAAAAGAAACATTAAATCAAAATAAATTAAAAACATCGAACATTTCCCTTCACTTCTATTGGGCAACGACGTAGAAGAATGTCCACAAATGTAATTTAAGGACCAAATTCCAATATATGTGGTCTACCTTCTACTTCTCCAAACCCAATTTAAGTTCTAGCCTACCTCCCAAAAGAAACACTTCCAGAAAAGTACTCATTTAACGGAAAAAGGCGGGAAAACAAAAAGAGTTTTATTAAACTCTTTGCTAGCAATTATATATATAGATTATACACAATCATAAGTTACCATACCAATTAATCAACAAACACAAAACCGAACGAGATCTTGGCCTTACTAAAATCATATGTTGTCTCGTCATGTAAGAAATCGTGGAGTCGAGAAGTCGTATAATTCAAGGACAATAATTTACCGGACAAGGGACACGATTGTCACGAACCTGGTGCAACACCACTCGTGCTCGAGCCGTTGTTGGATGTCGTCGTGGATTTCATGGCTTCCGAAAGGAATCCGAAAGCACCTTCTCTATGTAGAAACTTCCCTCAAAAAAGGTCTTCTCGAGCATAAATTATTGCCACACGCATCCATTAAGTCCTATAAATTCTTCTTCTCCTCCTTTCAACCAATTTTCCCAACATAAATCCCAAAATTCCATCAGATTGTAAAATTCAATCATCCATTAATCAATCAAAGCAAAACTTACAGCAAAAAATGTCTCTGATTTCGAACTTTTTCGCCCACCGTCAGAGCAATGTTTTCGACCCGTTTTCGAGGGACATCAAAGATCCATTTGAAGGCTTCCCCTTCTCGAGCACCATGCGAATCCGGCGCCCTCCACCAGTGAAGCCTCGGGTGTGGCAAACGCACGAATCTTTTCTCATAGTGTAGGTCACATTGTCGGCCCCCAACTTTTCTCTGTTTGAGGCCACTTTTGTCGTTCGATAAAAATTTGAGAGATCTCAATTCACAAGGTTATTTTCTCATAGCGTCGGAGAACTTTTCTCAGTTCTGTTTGAGGCCACTTTTGTCGTTCGATAAAAATTTGAGAGATCTCAATTCTTATTCTCTAATTTGGGGAATTTATATTCTAAAAAAAGTTTCTACTAAATCTGAGAAAAAATAGAACATTCAATACAACAATGACTTTTGGAGCGTAAAAAATGAAAATAGAATGAGCGTTTTTGAGATAATTGATAAAAATAATGTTTTAAAAAGGATAGAGAGTGTCTTTTTATCTTTAACAGAGGTGGTGGGGTACCTCGTTAATAACAGCTATGCTATAGTTGTGTGGATATAATTTTTTATATGGTGTATTCAACCATAAAAAAAGGTGGCCTACTAAAAAATGTGAAAAAATCTTTGCACAACATAAAAAAATGTCATCATCCAGAGTCCAAACAAAATATATCAACAAAGTTGCAGACTTTAGTCACAATAACACCCAATCTGATTAACAAACTACATAGTGCAAATACTCACAAGTGGACAACAAACCGACTTTAGTCACAAACTCACACCCATGTCATCAACAAGATACAAAGTGCAAATAGTCATCAACAAACAACAATCTAACATATAAGAAAATGAAACACCTCTAAATAGTGCTTTACTCTTCAATCGTCAATGTCACATATAACAGCTTAATATCGTGTCTGGCCTCCCTAACTTTTGTAATCAGATTACCGTCTCTTGTTTTCAGCTGGTATGTAGCTAGCAAGGTGGCTCAACCTCATTACTTAAATCACTAGTTGTGATCTTTGATACGTTTTTCCAATTTGTTATGAGCCGAATCAAACCAGCATCATATGCGAAAAATGAATCATGACGATTGCATTGTCTGTGACTCAATAGCCGATTTCTAGAATGCTTCTCAATCTGCAAAAAACGTGCACTTTCTGGAAATAACAAGAGTATACGTAAGATGGCTCGTGCCATAAGTTCCTTCGTGCAGCTAGCGTTGAGTAAGTCGAGCATGGAGTCGTGCAGTACACTCTTGTTCGTCTGTGTTATATTCTTACTATAGCCTGCTTCGTGTCTCCAGCTTCCATAAATACTCGAGATCTTTACGTTATTCTCCAGGAGAGGCAATTCATCAGTTTTTTATGCACGAAATTATTTCCACTGACTATCCCCACTCCTCTTAAAAGCCACCACCAGATAGAGATCAAACTTTCAAAACTTCAGAAACAATTTCTTTTTCCAAAACTTCAGAAACAATTTCTTTTTCCTCCGCATGATTATATGATCATCATGATTTTCCGTTTCGTTCGGCAATTTAGCAACCACATTGATGGAAATTCTCCTAGATAAATCTTCACGCCACTTTGAGTGGAATCGTGTGAATGTAGTCTGGCTCCAAAAGTTAAATTCCACTTGGGATTATTATAATCCACCTGTTCCAAGACATTGAGAATTAAATCAATTCAGAATACTTAATTCTCAATGTCTTGGAACAGGTGGATTATGACAACCCCGAGTCTAATTTAACTCTTGGAGCCAGACTACATTCACACGATTCCACTCAAAGTGGCGTGAATTTTTATCTATGGGAATTTCCATCAATGGGGTTGCTAAATTGCCGAACGAAGTGATATTCAGGTAATCATGTGGAGAAAAAAGAAATAGTTTCTGATGTTTCGAAAGTTTAATCTCTATGTGGTGGCTTTTAAGAGAAGTGATAATAAGTGGAAATAATTGCACTGATAATGGACTCTCCTGGATAAGGTAAAGATCTTGAGTAGTTATGGAAGCTTGAGCTGCGAAGCAGACTATAGTAAGGATATAACACAAATGAAGACGAACAAGAATGTACAGCACGACTCCATGCTCGACTTACTCAACCCTAGCTGCACGAAGGAACTTATGGTACGAGTCATCTTACGTATACTCTTGTTATTTCCAGAAAGTGCACGTTTTTTTGCAGATTGAAGAACATTCTAGAAATCGACTATTGAGTGACAAACAACGCAATCGTCATGATGCATTTTTCGCATATGATGCTGGTTTGATTCGGCTCATAACAAATTGGAAAAACGTATCAAGGATCGCAGCTAGTGATTTAAGTAATGAGGTTGAGCCACTCTTGCTAGCTACATACCAGCTGAAAACAAGAGACGGTAATCTGATTACAAATGTTAGGAAGGTCAGACACGAGATTAAGCTCATAGGACATGTGACATTGATGATTGAGGGGTAAAGCACTATTTAGTGAGGTTTATATATGTTAGATGTTGTCTACTGATGACTTGTTGATGACATTGGGAGCTAGTGTGAGTTTGTGACTAAAGTCGGTTTGTTGTTCACTTGTGAGTATCTGCACTATGTAGTTTGTTAGTCAGATTGAGTGTTATTGTGACTAAAGTCTACAACTTTGTTGATATATTTTGTTTGGACTCTGGATGATTACATTTTTTATGTTGTGTCATTTCTGCTGTGCAAAGATTTTTTTAGTAGGCCACCTTTTTTATGGTTAAATACACCGTAGAAAAAATTATATCTATACAACTATAACATAGTTGTTATTAACGAGCTACCCCACCCCCTATGTTAAAGATAAAAAGAAGCTACTATGTTGTGAAGTATGTTCTTCGTCTTCATCGTGTGTCCATCACCAGTTGAATTCGCAATTGTATTGGCTGAACTACTTTCTGTTGCCCCTGTTTCTAAAAGTCGGAGAAGAGCATCCTTTGGAGCTGATTCACCGTCTATTCAAAGGCACTTACTATTGCTTTCTTTGTAAAAAAAAAAAACTGTCGAATGGAAAATTCACATCACAAGAAATGGCTACAAAGCTCAATTACATCATTAGATTAACTACCAAAGAAAGCTTGAGTGAGAAGGGTGACAATCAAGGCAAATATACAAAGGTTTAAATAGGGAATGCGGACCAAATGTTCAGTGTGGGAAAACACAAAAACATGAGTCATGAGAATCTCACCTTTGGTCTAGTTCAGAACCTACCATGAATACACCCAAGCTCACATGCAGTATATTTCCTCAGAAGAACTAAAATTCTAGATACACACAAATAAACTCAGAAGGTGGAGTAAGGCTCGACAAAAAGAAAGCAAAGCATATGAACCAACACTCAGTTAACCAAAATAGGAGTATCCTGGCAACAAGAAACACAACAGAAGTCTCAAGTCTCTGCTAAAATAATTTTAATTCGACATATTTGTAGAAAAATTAATGGTCCCACAACATGTGAGTAACATTTGTACACTGATGAAAAGAACGCCATAGATATAGGGTATGACGTAGGTAACTGGCCATTTGGCGACACAACACAAATATCCGCTTTTAAGAATATGAAACGCCACAACAAAAAAGGTCCATTAATACAATCTTAAAGAAAGTTCAGGTTGAGGAACAAAATCTGATGGATGAGAAAATATGTGAAAAAATAAATAAAAATCAATAGCACCACTCACCTTCCTTGAATAAATGGCATTCAAGACCTCTCCCATGTTTCACAAAGTCCACTGTGCAATAAAAGCGCGATTCCAGGTCATCAACGAGCTGGTATAGATGGGGCCAATCTCACAATGAGTGGGCAAACATTTAAAAATGCCAGATATATATATACACAATTTAGTCATGCGAACGAAGTAAATAATGTAAACTGCCAGATTCTACGTTAATGGCTACATTTTACCACTTGAAGCAAGCCTGTAACATCAATCAATACAAAAACGGTAAGTGGATCGAGGGACTCGAGTTCACTCATTTAAGTGTATATACAGTCCGAACCCTATAATCCTATGATTACGTGTACTCCACTTCTATGGATGCTTCATACTTAAAATGGAAAAGCAGTGAGTAAAAGAAGACAAATCCAGCAAAGATATGTACCTTTTCCCACGAGTTATTGACCAGAGCTAAGGTTTTCTCATGTGACTTTTGCTTATCTTTCAACAGCGAAACTTTATCTTCAAGAGCATTAATTTCAACCTTCTGAGTTTCCAACTTCTGCACAAGTTTCTGATTTTGAAACTGAAGCACTGCTGCATCAAGCTACATAAATAATATTTTGAACTATTAAGTGTCTATAATTAGAAGAATCGTCTCACAAGAAAATATGCCACATATAAAGCTTGTCTAAGACAACCTACATGCCAACAGAGCACAATTTAAGAGTGGAAACCAAAAACTCCAACTACAACAAATGAAAATAGTATAATCAGTTTTTTCTCTTTTATAAGCAGATTAGATCTTTCCCAAGTTGCTTAGTTAAAATGGACTGAAAGACGGAGATGAAAGACATATTTATTACACCAACTTTCAATGCTTCCTTACACATTTGCACGGTGTAAAATCATCTATGCAAACCAGATAATTACCACACTAGTTCAAAAACTAAAATCTAATAGAAACGAACACAAATTAACTATTTGCCTGTAGAAAAATCATGAAAATCCATGCTGAAATCCCATCCCATCCCATCACACAACTATGATTAACTCAATCCCAAGTTTTCATTCTGCAAGGTTCACAATAATCATCACCATGTTACACTGAAACTAACAACAAGCATAGCTAAACATATTCCCATGATTCTTGCTACAAAAGCTTCCAAAATCATAACTCAAACCAGTAAACGAGTTAAGAACAATACTCGAAATCTCCCGGAAGCATCGGGTGAATATCGACGTAGTTTCAGCTAGATATGAAGCAGCCTCGTTCAAAGACGGCACGGATGTAAACAGCTGCGGAATACCGGGACGATCAACTCTCCCCACAGTGCTATTTGCCTTTAGTGCAGAGAATATTATTAAAAAACAACAGAAAATCAGCACAATCACCTCCAAAAAACAAACATAAAACGAGAAATATCACAAAATTACCAGGTGCGGCGAGCTAGATGCCCCGGCGTCGGAATTCCTGGCGTCCATACGGGAAAAGCGGTTCAAAATTGTGACAAACTGTGAAGCAAAACCCTAAGTTCACAATTAATGGAGTATCGTTAAGCTCAGAGGAACAAACGATTGGAGAAAATATGGAGAAATGAGAGAATTGTTGAGTCTCAGCAGTTTGAAATGGAGAAAATCTCGAAGAAAGGTCTCGAGTTTTTTCATGGAGAAGAATGATTGATACCAGGCGTCAATTGAGTTGCGGGAGTACAGCTTGAAACGACGTCGTAATAGGACATGGTTCATATTGAAATTCTGTTGGGCCTACGATGTAGAAGAATGGAGAATGCCCATAAATGTAATTGAAGGCCCAAATTTCAGTTTGTCGCTTAGCTTCTACTTCTTCAGGCCCAATATAATCTCTAGCCTACTAAATATCGACGGCGCACCCAGATGGACGGCCTAAAAATTATGCAAACAGCAATTTCCCACAATTCTACCTTCCTCCATGACCTATTGCAAAATAATTTGAAAATTGATGTATAATGTTAAATTTTTACTATAAAAAGGTTATTTTGCTATTTATTACATCACTTTTCTCTATAACCGATGGAAATGTCTGTTACATGAATATTTTTTTATACTAATGATTATGATATAGCTAGTTAGATCAGTACGGTTTGGAGTCCAATTTAGTAGCTCGGTTCATGTTTAAACTCGATAGGATAGATAAAGGTCGGCTTGAGGTTGCACATTTAGATGGTAATATGCGAGTTAGGATTCTCAAACGATCTGGCCTTGCTCTAACTATGAAATGATGCAAGGTGCTTTATATTACAATATTTGTAATGATCGACTTAAAGAAGGCTTGTAAAATTGGACCTATATGTAAAAGAAAATGGAACTTATATACAAAAGAAAATGAGATTGTGAGTATCATTGATATGTCTTCTTTGATAAATAGAGTTTCAATAGGCATAAAATAGAATTGAGCGTTATAGTATTTATGTCGAAAGTCTCTCCTGGCGCATTGGTCTTTGAAGCTAGTTTTTAAGGTACGAAACGCATCATTTTGAGAAAAATATTATTGTATTTCAAAATTTATTATTATTATATATATTACTCTTATATAACATGTTTGTAATTTTAAAAATATATTTACATCATTTATATCTATATTTGCATATAATTCTGTTTGTAACATGATTGATCATTGGAGCAACCAATTCTCTCGAAGTTTTCTTCAATTTAATACAATTTTATCAATTAAAAAAGGTACAAAGTGCAATTTGCTTGTCCAAATCTCAGCACAATCAACTGTAGTGAACCCTACAGGTAAAATGAAAAAGTTGTTCATAAATAAGATCATTACATCTGTGAATTCCCACAAAATTTTGTCCAGGGTTTCCCTTCTTTAGTATATGAAACAGGTAAACCATTGTGATTATTGATCCCACTAAACATATTTATATGATGATAATTTGATTTATACAAATCGATTTATTTTCACATATAAACACAAGTGTGATAAATTGATAATCATAGCACAAAGCCATGAACATAGCAGATATACTGACAAGCCCACAGATTAATCCATTAAATTAATCCACCATCTAACATATGATCAAATTTTCAAAGTAATAAATATTATTCATTAATTAAAGTCATTTCTAACAAAGTGCCAAAGAAATGGTCACTTAAACAAGTGTAGTATGATTAAGAATCCTCTAATAGCATGATTAGTGGGTTATTAGATGGTGAAATGCGGATTAGATACATTTTTTACTCCTAATTTAGGTTTTGCTTTGGATATATGAAATGTTGTAGTTATTTATTTTAATATTATTTATCACATTGCACAAAAGTTCCTAATCTTCTATATTCTCTCCTCGCACATGATTGTCGATGTGCATAAGCCACCTTATAGAAACTAGAGATTGATTATGTTTAATTTGGTTCATGTTTGATAAAGTATGATAATTCAATTCATTCACACGTCTAGTTAAAAACTTAAAACTACTCGGTACTCATATGTATGCATTTTTCAATCCTAGTTGATATGTGCCACCCCAAAAAGTTGCGCGCTCTTTAGCTTGATGAATTAATTGCTAGCTAGGCATTCGAGATCAAGAGATTATTTAATATTTAATAAGATATCAATTGAAAGAGAGATTAAAGAAAATGAATAATTATATACACGAGTCAATCATCAAAATAAGACATTATTTCAAATTAAAATAAAAAATCGAATATGACTTAACTATACCTAGAGTTGTTAACGAACCAAACGTTCCCGAACAAAAGCTCGTTGGAGCTCGTTCGTGTTTGACAAAAGCTCGTTCGTTTGTTAATCGAGTAGAATTCAAACAGAAATTAAGCTCATTTAACAATCGAACGAACACCAACTCGTTCATGCACGTTCGATAAGGTTCGCGAACATTAATTTAATATAATTCTCTTTTATTTTTTATATATTTACATGATATTTTTAATAAAAAATCTAAAATGTAAAAATACTTTTTTTGTTTATTTTCGAGTTCGAAAGAATAAATCTCGCATTAATCAAATATATATTTAAAAAGTTTATGTCCTAAATTATTCGAATACGAACGAACTCGAACTTTGACGAACAATTAGACGAACGAGCTCAAATACAATTTTTTGCTCGAAAAATAAACGAACAAATCATTCGAAGGTAAACGAACACGAGCCCGAAACGCCCCAACTCGGCTCGTTCGATTCGATTATAGGACTCTATACCATCCAATGGTAAATCCCAATTTGTCACCAAGTAATGTCCCTTTGTCCCCATTGATGCGGTGGTGTTGTTACACAAACCCTAAAATCAAACCACAATTAATTTCATAGTCCCCACCACCACCATTTTCATAGATCTTCCTAAGTAAGACCAAATAAAATTAATGCCTTTTTAATTATTAGAAGCAAAACTCCCAAAATTGGAAATTCATTTGAGCATCAATTCAAACTAGTGTGTGGCCCGTGCAATGCAAGAGAAAATAATATTACGATTCTATTATAAAATAAATATATAAATAACATTAATCATGATATACTCATTGTTTTTAAACTAAATTGGGTTGGACACAGTCCAACCGGATGGACCGAGAACCGGTTTATAACCAGTCTAGTTCACTTGAATAATATTTGTTGTAGAATCCGTCAACACCAGTCGGTTGGACTAGTAGAAACGATACGATTTCTTAAATAAATTTTGTTACATTTAAAATTATTTTAAATAAGATTACATAGTTAAATAAAATAGAGATTTATAAATTGTTTATCAATATGTTTAAACATTTGAATCTATAAATTTTCTAGATATTTAAGTAGCAAATTTTATTTAAATTTATTACAAAAAGTACTATATATATATATTAAAATATTTATAAATTAAAATCGAACGAACCACAAATGATTTAATAAAATAACTTGATCGTTGCGATGACGGACTGGTTCTGAAAACTTTATAGTTATTGTACATTAATGAAAATTATAATAAAATATTATTTTATTCACATAAATATTGATAAAATGATATATAAATATTCATAGATCATTTAACATGATGTCATAAAAGTATTGTGAATATGTTTATTTGAAGTTTGGACTACATCACATTCACGTAATAAAGTATTTTCAAAATTGAAATTTATATTTAGGTTCAATAATCGATTTGGTATGATCAAACTGATACATAACTTAGTCACCTAGGACCAACTAAGTTGTGTCAAGTTTTTTGACTATTTTAAATATCACATAAAAGTAATTCAATCAATCTGGGCAGTGCCCTAATTCAATCACTCGATTGATCCAAAGAAATTTTTTTATTTTCTTCAAATATAATTAGTTTTATGAAATAAAAATATTTTATGATTCATATAATAAATGTCTACACCAAATGATAGTATATTAAGACTATAAATTATATATCTAAAGATGAATTAATTATTTTTACTTTATGCATATTAATAAAATATAAACATAGTAATTTTCAAAAAATTAAGATTAATTGATTGATTATGCAATTTAACGAATTTTTTAGCGTTCAATATTTTATTTTGAAAGACACAAATAATAAGACCGTGATTCTAAAACTTTTATTATATTTGGAATTGAGATTTTATAAATATAGAGACCGAAATTTAATGTGGATTTAATGTAGTATGATTTTTAAAGAAAAAAAATAAGAAAAATAATAAAACTTACTATTTATAGGTTGCATTATATTTTAACATATATTTTTGCTACTATTTTTTGTAAATGGTTATTCTTTTTATATATGTATAGACTTGCTACCTTGGTTATTTAGTTGTTTATATTTGGAATATAATAAAAAAATAATTTCCTATAATAGGACAAATTAAAATAGTTGAAAATGAAATCATCAAATATTCCTCATTAGACGGCCAAATTAGGTGGTAAGATTTTAAATCATGCGACCCCTCATTTGCTTGTCACTTTCTTGACAGTATCTTGACCAACAATGCTAATTGCGGTATCAACAAAATCGTGTCATTGTTCTATGATTGTTGTTGCTGCACCATCTTTGGTTGTTCCATTATTATTCAACATTATGCTTTGTTTGTATACTTACATTTATATGCTCGTATTTTATAATGGGCATATATTACAAGCCACATGAAATATAAAATATTATCAGATTACTACAAGAACAAGCTCTCTATATGGAGGAAATGAGAGTAGTTACGCTGAATCGAGCTCCTGATACTCGAGCTTGGATTCATTAAGTTAATGAGATAATAAATGAACTCAAATTTGGGCTCGATAATGAACGAAACTCGTGACAAATTATGTTAAGAAAATCACGTAAAACCTTATAATTATCAAGCCTAACCGAACGAGCTAGGCATGAGTCTTAACGGGTTGAATCGTGTCAAGCTTACAATCAACTCATTTCGTTCAACAACTTTTGTTGAGATAAAAATTAATCTTGTGGTAATTATAAGAGCCGTAAATGATACAATTATTACATCTGACGGATAATAATAATAATAATAATAATAATAATAATAATAATAATAATAATAATAATAATAATAATAACTTCACATTGTTAACAATATGTTATTGCATAGTTTTATTCTTATTTAACATATTTATTGCATAGTTTTATTCTTATTTAACATATTTATACTTTTTCGTTCATAGATTTTGCCTTTTTATTTTTGGGCTTAGTTATTTCATATCAAGTCGAAGAGTTTGTAAGATGTAGCACACAAACAATTTATTAAAGAAAAATGTTAATAAATTGAGGAATAAAATTAAAAAATTCTCCTATGTGATGATTACATGTGATAAAGGTTTAGTTGATTTGATGACCCACGTACTATACTTGATGAAATTTTCAATTTGATGTCTAGTGTTTGCCCTAAGTCAATCATAGCGAGGTGAATTGACCTTATAATACTTTTACATTTAAAATATTTATTTCCCCATAATCATAACTCCACAAGAAACGTTTGTGAAGTGGGGGCAGAAAAAACAGTTTGCAATTGTTGCTCTCTTTATCAGTTGGATAATTGTGATTGTTGTGGTGTTTTCACGGTTTTCTATGAATTAATTATCTACACGATTTATAGAATCATTCATAATTATGCCCGAAAAATATTGTCTATGTATAAGAAAGTTATCCATTAATTTCTTAAAACTTATAGACAGTTGAGAAAGTAAAGATAATATGATCGAATAAAAATTTACTATCTATTTTAGGTTAATATTTTTGCAAAATAACCTCTATATGTAGACAAAATAATGAAAAAAAAATCAAATTTAGCCGAACCTAAAATAAAATTAACACATCCCATTTGCAACAATATGCAAGACTCAAAACATAAGGCAAGATTGGCCCACTCATTTGTTAATATTTGTTTAATTACAAGTCTGAATTTTTGTAGCATTGCCCATTATGCATTTCCAAGTGGCCAGCCAAATCCCTGGATCCCACATTTAATTTTAAATAAATCACAAAAGTTCATACATGTTTATTAGTATATTAATTAATTTAAGATACCAATATTTTAATTTTTGGGCACTTTTACTGTGTCAATGACTGATAGTGCTCCTATGAAAAAAACTACGAAGTGAGATGAAATAATTCGTATATGAAAAATAATTCGTCTAACAATTAGAACATCTGACCAAAAAAGCAAAAACTCGTAAAACAAAATTGTATTGTTTTAGCCAATTATAGAGTAAACTAATTGAGTGGACAACAAATTGACTTTGCTATGCAAAGCATGTTATAATATTAAATGGTGTACAATTAGTAGTTTTGTATGTTTTTCTTCTAAACGTGCGCTTACAAACTACACTCGTCACTTGAACATTATGTGCAAGCGAAATATTGCAAGTTGCAAGAAGAGAAAAAATGATCCTAAAATCAAATTTATCATAAAAGAAAAAGTTGATTATCACCCATTAGTGAGTCACTAATATTTTTCACCCTTGTTGGGAAGATTAATTACTCCCTCTGTTTCGTTTTAAATGTCGTTGTAGGGTGTCAACTTTTTTGCAAATTAATTGTCGTTGGAAATATTATATTCATTCTTACATCTTTATTCTTTTTAACAAACATTATCTCTTATCATTATCTTTAAAAATCACCCATAAATAATTCAAAAACTAAATTTAATAAGATTAAAAGATAAGATTATTACACAACCCATTAAAATCGTAATTTAGAAGTTTTAAATTAAAACGACATTTAATAAGAAACGGAGGAAGTACAAGCTAGTGGCAGTGTCAATTAATCAAGGTTAATTAATTAAAATTATATGGACATTTGTAAATTGAGGTAGTAATGTGATATTAATTACTCTCTCTGTTTCTTTTTAGATGTCGTGGTAGGATGTCAACTTTTTTGTAAATTAGTTGTCGTTGGAAATATTATGTTCATTCTTACAACTCTATTATCTTTAACAAACTTTATCTCTTATCATTATTTTTAAAAATCACCCATTAATAATTCAAAAACTAAATTGAATAAGATTAAAATATAAGATTATTACCCAAACTATTAAAATCGTAATTTAAAACCCAAGAGCACGTGGGTGAGATGGTTGGGGTCTCTCCCAGCTTAACCAGAGGTCTCGAGTTCGAGCCCTGGGAATGCAGCTGTGTTAAAACTCTTGAGGTAGAGCTTTGCCGCCCTTGTGGTCCTACCCGGCTCGATTCCGGATTAGTCGGTCCCCTAGGGGATTCGGAAACCGGAAGGTTCATTGTACCAAAAAAAAAAAATCGTAATTTAAAAATTTTAAATTAAAACGACATTTAAAAAGAAACAGAGGAAGTATATTTGAGGGAGTATATTTGACAAGCCATTATTTTACATATGAAATTTGGGAAGCACCATATAAATATCAAATGTCTTCATCTCCAGTCTCATACTCATACATACCCAACACAAACACCACCACCCAATAATAAAAAAACAATAATAAACAACATAAAAATAAAAATAATAATAATTACAAACCAAAAAACAAAAATAAAAAATGCTCGCCCTGAAATCTTGCCACCACCATTATCTCCTCCCGCCAAAATCGCAACCGCTGCCCTACTCCGCAACCCCAACTGCCCCCAACAAGCACACCGCCGCCCCCCGCGCCGCCATATCCATCTCCACCGCCCCCCGCACCACCACCCCCGCCGGCAACATCCCGGCGCCGCCCGACGAGGCCGTCTCCGCCCTCTCCGACTACCGCTCCCTCTTCTCCTCCCAACGCGCCGAGACCTCCGCCCCCATCCCCCTTCGCCCAGTCCTCGGCGGCGCCGCCGCCCTCCCGGCCGACTTCCCGACGGGGACATACTACCTCGCGGGGCCCGGCATGTTCGACGACGACCACGGATCCACCGTCCACCCTCTCGACGGCCACGGCTACCTCCGGGCCTTCACAGTCCGTCGTGGGGCCCACGGCCGGCCCGTGGTGGAGTTCTCGGCCAGATACGTGGAGACGGAGGCGCGGGCTGCCGAGCGGGACCCGGCCAACGGCGAGTGGCGGTTCACGCACCGCGGCCCGTTCTCGGTGCTCAGGGGCGGCGGAGGGGTTTTGATGGGCGGGAACTGCACGAAGGTGATGAAGAACGTGGCGAACACGAGCGTGGTGAGGTGGGGTGGACGGCTGCTTTGTCTGTGGGAGGGGGGGGACCCGTACGAGGTAGAGGAGGGGACGTTGGCCACCGTCGGGAGGTTTCCGGCGGCGGAATGTGACGGTGGTGGAGAAGCGTTGACTGGGGTTGACTTCTGGGACGTGGCTGCTAAAGTGCTCAAGCCCATATTGTATGGTATGTTGTGTATCACTTAATTAATTAGTTGCACTGCATGCAGAATATTAGTTGCTAGCAATAAAAATAGTTTACATGATAATAAGGAAAATCATGCATACAGATATAAATTATATTACGAGACAATTAGATTATACCTGACCTGTTATATATGAAATTATACATATTTGATTTTACGGGTCGACATGTCATATAACCTAATAATTCGACTATTATATATGAAATTATACATATTTTTATGTGAGTCGTCTTGTCATATTTAATCGAATGATTAGACGGGTCAACATGTTATATACAAAATTATGTATATTCGATTATACCCATTAATCTGTCATATAAATATATTTGTACAAAAATATATATATATATATACGGGCGGGAGATTAATTCTGCCTAACATAAGCCTTATTGATATAATAATAATTGATATATGTATTAAAATTTAATTAACATACTCTTTATTAATTAAAAAACATTCCAAGTTAATTTTCCTAATTTTCTTCATTATAAAAGTTCTTTCAATTCGAAAGAGTGTGTACTTAAAATGACACTTAATATGAAACCACATAACGGTGATATACTTGACGTGGAATATAATATATCATTTTGTTCGCGTAATATAAATAGAAATAAGGACTTTTTTTTTTCTCTCTCAAGTCTTAATAAGCTTTTTTTCATGGTGTAATTGGAATCATTTTTTTTTATTATTATTATTATTTTTTTTTTTTTGTTTCA